GTTCTGACTCGATGGCACCTGACAACAACAACAACAACAACATCTGTGGGAGAGACAATGAAGAAGCTCAATAACATCAGTCATAACAAGGCCAGTGGCCAACTGTGGAACAGACCATCAATTACTCATATGCAAGTTCAGGCAGAAGAAGAAGAACATTAAAACAAATGTGCAGGAGTCAAAATAGGACCTTGAATATATCCCACTTTGAATTTAGAGTTATCTCAAGAACAGATTTGATGCATTAGGCACCAACAACCAAAGACCAGAAGAGTTGCTGTAAGACATCAAGAATATCATACAATGAGAAATGAAAAGGGCATTAAAAAAAGAAAGAAATACCAAAATGATGTCAGAAAGATCTCAAAACTTCCTCTTGAACATAGAAAAAGAAAAAGCAACTGGAAGAAATGAAGAAGTAAATGAAATGAACAGGAATTTTTGAAGGGCAGCTCAAAAATCCAAAGTATTGTAATGAATTGTGCAAATAACCTGGAATTAGAAAACCAAAAAAGGAAGATAACATGTTCAGCATTTCTTAAGCTGAAAGACCTGAAGACTTGACTTGCAATGTTGAAGGATTCTATAGGCAAACAAACAAAAAAGCAGAGAATACCAGAAAGATGTTTACTTGTGCTTTATTAACTATGCAAAGACTTTGAACTGTGTGGATCATGACAAGCTATGGATAATATTGAGAAGAATGGGTATTCTTTGGGTATTAGCACTTCATTGTGCTAATGAGGAATCTGTACATAGACCAAGAAGCAGTCTTTCAAACAGAACAAAGGAACACTGAATGGTGTAAAATTAGGAAAGGTTTGTACCACAGTCATATTCTTTCACCATTCTTTTCAATCTGTATTCTGAACAAATAATCTGAGATGCTAGATTACATGAAGAACATGGCATCAAGATTGGAGGAAGACTCATTAACAACCTGCTATATGCAGGTGATACAACCTTGCTTACTGGAAGTGAAGAGTACTTAAAATACTGATGAAAATCAAAGTATTTTAGCCTTCAGGATGGGTTGCACCTCAACATAAGGAAAACAAATCCTTACAACTGAAAAATGGAGAAAAATAGTATCCTGATAAATAACATCATGATAATTAGAGAAAAGATTGAAGTTGTCAAAGACTTCAGTTTTCTTGGATTCACAACCAACACTTCATGGAAGGAGCAGTCAAGAAATCAAATGACATACTGCATTAGGAAAA